TCTGCTCTGGTGAGACCCCACCTGGAGTACTGCATCCAGCTCTGGAGCCCTCAGCACAGGAAGGACATGGACCTGTTGGAGCGGGTCCAGAGGAGGGCCACAAATATCATCAGAGGGATGGAACGCCTCTCCTATGAGGAAAGGCTGAGAGAGTTGGGGTTGTTCAGCCTGGAGAAGAGAAGGCTTTGGGGACACCTTATTGCAGCCTTTCAGTACTTAAAGGGGGCTTATAAGAAAGATGGGGACAGACTTTTTAGCAGGGCCTGTTGTGATAGGACAAGGGGAATGATTTTAAACTAAAAGAAGGCAGACTTAGACTAGAAGGAGCGTTTTACAATGAGGGTGGTGAAACACTGGAACAGGTTGCCCAGAGAGGTGGTAGATGCCCCATCCCTGGAAACAGTCAAGGTCAGGTTGGACGGGGCTCTGAGCAACCTGATCTAGTTGAAGATGTTCCTGCTCACTGCAGCGGGGTTGGACTAGATGACCTTTAAAGGTTCCTTCCAACCTAACTATGCTATGATTCTATACCATTAGAACTTGCCAAAACTCCATTAAAATTCCTTCCAGTTTTAACTTCCCATGTTTCTATTGAAGAATATTCACTGACTTTCCTGACAGACATCTTCCCTAAATGTCACATCCTGTGCTCTTCACACAGCACCTAAAATGTAGTAGGAACAATTTGTTCCAGTGTTCAAGAGCAGAGGAGGAGGCCTTGTACTAAGAATTCATTTTCGCAAGGTATATTCCACATGTGAAATGAGTACAGGCAGATTTGTATCCATGCAGATCTACTGGCCAAACGCTCATGCTTGCAATCTCATCTGCTGCTCTAATCTGAGAAGGAAAGTTAATTTTATATCATCTGTGTAAGTTAAGTGCTCCCAGGTGTAAAATAATGGGGAAGAATTCTTTCACTGTTCCCAGACACAGGAATGATTCAGTTCCCGTGAATCCCTTTGAGACTTCTTTCTTCAAAGTCATTCGGTTATTGTTCAAAATTGGAGGATTTGGCCCCTAGAGGTTTCACAGGGTACAGATTTTAGTCAAAGTATGGTAACTTGCTAGCACTCCTAAGAAAATAAATGATTGCCAAAAAGTGTGACACAGATAGTCATTATGTTTGCAGCAGATGTCAGTGCATCTGACAGCGGTAACAGTGTCACTGTGACTGCAGAGGAAAGGCCTTAGGAGGTAAGCAAAACAATGATTTCGTTCTTTGGGTTTGATGGGAAATAGGCTAGGAGTTGAGACCAGAAAGTTCCTAAGATAAACTCTACTAAGCCATTTGTTCGTCATCTTTGTGCAGTTTTGCAACTATGCTTGCATGCTATTTTTTTTTTGATAGCCCACAACATTGGTGTGGCATAACGTAGCAAGCAAAATGAGTTGACATGACCCTATGTCTGAAATTCCAGTAGTTAGGAAACGTCTTCTAGACTGAACTGGGTCACTGACACAAGTCATGTAGGAGATCTTATTTCTTGTGTGCCAAGAAAATAACATGTTTATAAACCAGCTGCCAGCCCTCACCCGGACCGCATTTGAGTTGGATCTGTTTCTGTGGAGCTCTGAATGTTTGATTTTACCATTTCAGGAGTTATTCCAAAAGTTACTGAAAACTTTGATGATTTGAAGGCATTTTTTCCCTATTACTGAGTGGGGGAATTCCAAAGTTTCATTTTGCAATGCAACATTCTCTCAACTTTTCAAGTTCAGCCTTTTTAAGTCCCTTGCAAAGGATTCCTAAACCTGTTGGAGAACTTTAGACCTTTGAGGTCCAACTTGGACTCTCTTGTGACTTTTAAATCTTAATTCTTCATGAACTCAGGAAGACCCAGATAAGGAAACTGGCAAGAAACAAAATTCAGAAATCTGTTTGGCAAGCTGAGCTCCATAGGGAATTTACTGAATCTAACATCTCTTAAAAATGTTTCTTTTAATTCATCCACACAGTCTTCAGTAATATTTTCAAATCTATTTTCCTAACTTCAGAATCTGTAAATATAATTTTACGAATGAGGAAACAGTCACAAACTATTTTAGGGACTGAATATTTAATGAGAATTTAAAAATTAGTCCTCTTAATCTGTATTTTAACACCAAATTGTCCGTTTTTGGAAGATCTAATTGTGTGCTACAATTTTTGTGTGGATGGTAATTGTGTAATGAAGGTTGTTAATTTTTCAAGTATTTAAATGCTTTGAGTTAAAAGATTTTAGTGCTGAAAATAGTTTCTTTCCTGTAAGTTTAATAGTTACCAATGGCTCAGATGGAATAAAATTAGTAAACTTCCATTGACCTTAGTATTTATGAGGATTTATCTCAGCTGTGCATTTCATTTAAAGATTATTTAAGGCCAATTTTGTATGTTAAAATTAGATATCCACATAGCAGGTAGGTAGTAGCTATACCAATTTCCTTTTTACCATGTCATAAAACCTGATTTTTGTGGATTCTTTTAATTAAAACTGGAAACTTAATCTAGTTAGTAGTGGGAAGCTATGCAATGATCATGTAAACTCTTGTCCTCATCCTTCCCGCCCCCCCCCCCCCCCCCCCCCCTCCCCCCCCCCA